GTACATAAGCGAAGGCATTTCCCGAAAACCGCGTCGCGATGCGCCAATCGGTTCGCTGTGAAAGGCATCATTTCTGTAAAGACTGCGCATCTAGTTGAAGGACCCTTCCTGAGGCATCTCCTCTCAGCCGTCACCGTAGCTCAGTTGGAAAGAACGTCAGTCAAAAGAACAGAAATCCGTAGGGTAAGGGATCGAATACCGCTTGTTTCCCTTTTTTCGTGACCGTTGGGTGGGCTCGGACGTCCCCGAAAACAGTCCGAAGGCGCCTCCGGGCATACCCAGAAACTTTCGGTTTTTGTCACTTCTGGGCTGCCCGCTAGGTACTTCGGACTAACCCGAAAAGAGCCCGCCCGTCCGGGCTGTTCCGGGGGCTGATCATTTTTAAACGGGCTAGTTGAGCTCCTGCAGCAGCCTGCCGACGGCCTCTGGGGGGGACGCCGGCGACCCTCCCGGGTGAGGTAACTCGATGCGGTGGCCGAGGAGAGCGACCAGGGCTCAGTGTCAGTCCCCGCTGATAGGCGTTCGGTTAGCGTCGAGTTGGTGGGCGGGCGGCGGCGAGCGCCGGGCGGGTAGGCCGACCCAAGCAGCAGCGCTGTCGAGCGGGACGGCCCGCCCGGCGCCTGCTGGCCGAGCTGTTGTAGGCCAGCGAAGGGCGATTGACCGCCAAAGTGCAAGCGCTGCAGAATGCCGGCGCGGCTGGACGCGAGGCCTCGGCCGAGCGGACAGTCGCGACGCAGCCTCCAGCCAGAGCGCATCTAAGGATTAACTTATAGTTCGGTAATGTAACCATTAAGGTGTGCACCCACTTAGGTACCCTTTAGCAATGTACAGCAGATCAATATTTTGGAGTTTAGGGCAAGGGTATTTGGCATAAACCCAATAAATAATACTAAAGTAATAACTAACTATGGTAACTAGTAACTTATCAGAAACACCCTAGAACCCCAAAGAGCAAAGCATTTCATTACTAAAACATTGGTGCATCAGCCGGACGATCCCTTAGCTTGTCCCGTGGCATAAATTTATTTTGAACCACCGAAAATTTGCATTGTTTTCTTTAAATTTTGAGTTTGCGTCTCAATGCTGCCATGTGCTTTTGTCGATTGGTATACTTATTAACTTTTCCTTTGTGTTCCTAGTATTGATTTCATTTCCATGTGTTCTGTAAGAGTTTCCGATTGTTTTTCGATGCTATTTTTGATCATAACTGAATTTGGATACGCCAAAATGACGATTAATTAAAAATTCCAAGATGGCGTCGAACACATTGTGATCGCCGCTAAAATTGGCAGCCATGTTTCGGAAATGCACGCACCGGAAGTTGACCGGATGTTTATTTCTTTTCATGGGCGCAGCCATCTTGAAGGGAAGTCATGTGACAGAGAAAAGTTCATGGGCGCGGCCATTTTGACCTATAGCAGAAGGTTGCTGGACTTAGGTGCTGGAGATGGTCATGCCTTAAGCAGTATTGTGCCTTGTTGCTGTGTACGCAACGAAAGGTTTCATTCATTAAATTATAAAAAGTTGTTAAAAATCTCACGACTTATTGTATTTTGAAAAAAAACAAAAATTGAGAATCAGGATGGTGAATAATTCTTCTTAATGAATATTGTGAAGGCCTGTGAAGCATTTATTTTAAAAGTTTAATACTGAGAATTGAGGATACTGAGTACTGAGAGATGATAATGAGAATACAGAGTACTGAGTACTGAGAAATGATAATTGAGAATACTGAGTTCTGAGAAATGAGTAATATGTGAATTGACAATAATATGGTTTTAGTGCAATGAGCGATTAGCGAAGCCCATTACTCCACTGACCGGAAAAGTTTCTGTCTGTTTGTTTGTTTGTCTGTCTGTCTGTCTGTCTGTCTGTCTGTCTGTCTGTCTGTCTGTCCGCACTATAACTCGAGAAAGAATTGAGAGAGCGACAGATCGAGTTCGAAGATGAGCATTCTAGCTCAAAAATTGACTTTTTGAAAAATCACAAACCACAGGTTGCAAAAGATTTTTTTTTTTTTCAAATATTATTTTATGGGCTCCAAAGGGGTAACTCGTGAAAGTAGAACTCTGTGGGCGAAAATTTCGTCCGTTTTGCTTAATCTTGTACCGTTTCGGCGCTATGGGCGCAGCGTATCATACTCGTGGGCAGCGGAGGGCTCAAGTAGGTAATGTCTTCTTCAGAGTTTGCTTGCAATGTTGGCCAGGGACCAAAGTGTCAGATAGCACGACCTTGAAGGGGAATGAATACCGGTAGAAGGGAGTAGCCGCCGTGACGTCTGCGTCGCACAGCTGTGCTTTTCCCGCGCTACTCCGCGCTGCAGAGACACTCCCGTTCCCGCCGCGGCGCTACCCCTCCGACTGCCTCCTGCAGCTCCGCGATCAGCAGCATGGACCTGGAGTGCGATATCTGCACCGAGCGCTTCGACGGCGCCGAGCGGCTGCCCAAGGTCCTGCCGTGCGGGCACACGGCCTGCCTGCAGTGCCTGCGCCAGCTGCCCGACAACAGCTGCCCGACGTGCCGCCGGGTGAGTGGCGTGGGGTAAAAGTCCTGGATCACTCGTTAGTTGTTACACTCGTTCTGACCCGTTCTCCCCGCAGGACTTCAACGGCCCGCCGGAGGGACTCATCACTAACTTCTTGGTGCTGAAGTCGCTCGAGGGAGTAAGGCTGGACAGGTGAGTCGCTCGCGCGTAGCCGGGCGCGGAGGCGGGGTGTTCGAGAGCCTCATGGTCTGACTTGTGCCCCACAGCACTCCCCGCTGCTGGTGCTCGGACTGCCGCACCGCCCCGTCGCCCCACTGCTGGGAGGACCACGACGTCCTGCCCGTCAAGAGTGCCCTGAGGCGCCAGCTGGAAGATGCGCTGCCACAGGCCGCCGAGCAGCTTCAGGGTCTCCAGGACCAGTGCCGGGACGAGCAGGCCCTGCCCGCCCTCACCCTGCTGACCGGCGAGTCCTGGGACGTGACGCTGCGGGGCAGCGGCCGGGAGCTGACGGGGACCCTGCGGACCTCCGAGGAGCCCCTCACCAAGGCCCTGTGGCTGCTGCTGGCGGCGAGGGCCGCGCTCACCGAGGTAGGCGATATGGTGTGTTGCAATGTTTTATCTCGCAAGTTATCTTTCTCCTTGATCGCACTCAACCGGATACGCTCTAATGAAACAACTGGAGGTGCGCTATTCTAGAGCATATCCAGTTAGCACGATGCACGGCGATTCCGCACTATGCACGACGCTCGCGCATGATGCACGCATGATGCATGCATTGTGCATCCGTGCATGCATGATAAGTTTTTTGTGTCATAGCCGAGGGGGGAGGGGGAAGTTTAATTTATATTTCGCGTGCGGTACGACGGGTAAGACCTACCATGACCGAAAAGCGATTTGGCAATTTGAAAAACTGTGTTATATTGTAACGTATATTTAACTTTTCTTGCGCCATTTTCGTTGGTGACATTTGAGAGTTCACGTTATTATTATCAATTACGTTGAATAACAAAAATGGTTTGTGCTCGTGAGTACATATTTGATAGTGTAAAGATCGTGGGTGGAAGGGACACGGGGATCTCTATAGGGAATGACCAGGCAGATACAGGGGGAGAAGATGTATTCCAGGCAAGGGGCAGCACAGGGAATGAGGCCGTATCCAAGGACGCGACAGTAGGAACGGCGGGGCCATGCGGCCAGAGCATCTGACCAGCATAGACCATTTCTCTACAGTAGCATTGTATGTTCTTGAACAGACTGTCGACAGTCGACTTGGCATCATAGGTCGTACCCGTCCCGTCGTACCACACGTAAAATGAAAATTACCCCCCCCCCCGCAGGCCTTAACGGAAGAAAACGCGCGGCTATGCGAGCGGCCAGTGTACCTGCCCTGTCGCAGGCGTGTCTAGCTACCACAGTCAATATTTTAATGTATTTCAAATTTAAACATTCCACTTTTCCGACAACAAATTCCTAATTTTAGCTAGCATCTGAACCTCAAGCAATGCATGCGCACAGCTCAACTATAACATCCGTATGTAATGTTTTGAGACCTGCTGTGTGCCTCCGTGTACTATACCCAGTGTGGTTGTGCAGGACCAATCTTCTGCGCGGGACCCCGCACCTGCAGCTGCTCACTCCCCTCCTGCAGCTGGACCCACACCGGCTGCAGCCCCCCTCGCCGCCCGGGACCCACCACCTGCCGAGGCGCTGCCCCCGCGGGAAATGAATGTGTTACTTATCAGCTGCAGTGGACCCACCTACAAGCAGCAGCAGAAGGCCGCCTTGTTGCGGGACGCGCCGGGGGTGAGTGTGCGCCTGACCTCGACCCTCACGGCCCGTCCGATGCTGCGGGGAGCGGCCCGGTACATTGCAGACAGTGCCGCACGTTATCGGCCGCCCTGAGAGTGACTCTGTTCTGCCGCAGGTGACCCGGCTGGTCAATGTGGGGTGCTTCAATGACCCCGACTGGAGCCTCCAGCTGCTGCAGCGCGCCGCGCCCACGCTGGAGCGGCTGTATGTGCACATGCCCCGCGAGGCCCACCTGCGTGCGGTGCACGGCATGCCGCGTCTGAGGCGGCTGAACGTGTGGGTTGATGATGATGCCCTGCTTGCCCAGCCCACCCAGCCCCCCGAGCTGCCCGCGCTGCCGCCGGGACACGCCGGCCTGCAGTGGCTCAGGGTGAACAACCTCCCCCGCGCCACGACACAGTCCCTGCTGCGGGCGCACGGCGGCACGCTGGAGGAGCTGGTGCTGTGGGTGGGCACGGCTGGGAGGCATGAGTGGCCACGCAGCTGCGGCGACCTGCACTCGCTGCTGCAGCAGAGCGGGTTGCGGGCGCTCAGGAGGCTCGTGCTGCGGAGGGGGGGCTACAGCCACGAGCGAGCCGCCTGCAGGGAGCAGCGCGCCGAGGTGCGGCGGGTGCTGCCCGGGGCCGAGGTGCTGTGCGACGAGTGTGACGATGTGGAGGACGAAGAGGTCTAGGGGCGGCGATCAGCGGGCGTGCCCCCGCCACCCTGTGGCAGCGAGAGGACCCCCAGCAGCAGGGCCGGCAGGGCCACCGGGTTCACAGCGCAGACAACACTCCTCGCGACCCGCAAGCACTGCGGGACAAGGCACTTCAAACGCCTTGGCGTTTACCAATGGCGGGCGGCCACAGGTTCAAACCATACTCTACGGGTGTGTTTCGTGTCTCTGCCCGTGACTGTGACCTGTGACTCGGTTAGCAACACTGCTGCCGAACGGGCCGAGCCTCGTGCAGGCGGGCCACACCACAGTCCACCCGCCAGCTACAGGGAGTGACGCCGCGTATTCAAATCATTCATCCATGTACTGCGTCATAAGATAAAGACATCTAATTTTAACACAACTTGTATGGCATCAAGAATAAAATAAGTGAAACCTGCAGTATTATTGTTATAATTATTACCAACTGTTTTATTTGTACGTCGCACCGAGGCGTGACGAAGATAGATGTCTGCTGGGCGCAACACCTCGAAGCTCACTTAGCGGGTTGTGGTGAGCGCCCGGCGGGTAGGCCGACCCGCACAGTAGCGGTGTGGAGCGGGCCGGCCCGCCCGGCGCCTGCCAGCGAGCGCCACTCGCGCCGTTCCTCTGCGTCACGTCCCTATTTGTGGCCACAATGCCGGCGGCCAGAGTCAGCTTAATCCGACCGGACTATAGAACGTCCTTTTCGATGAAATCGAATGAAATCCGAAGCCTTCAGGGTTTAAGCAGAAGGCAAGGGCTTTCTCTGCATATAATCCCTAACAAGCCGAAAGTCCCCAGATGCATCTAAACTAACACAACATGGAGCTCGGGGAACCCCCAAACCTAAGGGACAGCTTGTGTACTGATTGCCTACCCTTCAGGCGCCCTAAGCCACAACTCGCCGCAAAGAGTCATCCTCGCAGTACGAACGAGTCGGGGGCACACGGGGCCAACACCCAGTGCTGCCCGGCGGGCTGGCCTACCACCCAGGCGCCCTCAGCCACAACTTGCCCCGGCGTCCCCCAGGGGCTGTCAAACTGCCGTGCCGCGTCCCCCTACCCCTCTCCTCCTCCCCACCCCGCCTTTCCTGCGCCTTTATGGAAACTGATGGAAACGTAAACATACAGTTAAAATCGGTGTCTAACTAGGCATTGTTATAGACAAAGAGGCTGATCCCTGGTCGCGGAAGCGATGTGCGTTTCCGTTGATTTGTAATTTTGTTATGTTGGCAATTAATTATCATGGGGAAGTAATTTTCAACTTCTTTCCTCCTTAGTTTTTGTTGTACCCATTTTGCCCATTTACTCGACGCCGCTCCTCGCGCGTACGAAATATACCTCAGTTCTACGATGCCGTTCTCATGCGCAGGCTTGCCAACGCACAGAGACTGCAACATGAGGCGTTTTAGAAGCAAGCGTTCGTTTTAACTTTGACCTCAGTTATCTTTCCAATGGTGATAATTGCTCGAAAATTAGTTTCGCAGCAATTTTTGTAGTGCTCTGATCAAAACAACATATCTCTGACTCACATCAACCCT